TCCCAGTTTCTTGTGTGCCTGGCAGAGCATGGGAAGCTGGAGAAGTCCTTGAGTAGTGTCAGTACTACTTAGCAACAACTAAAACATCAGTGTGTTATCAACATTATTCTCATACTAAATCCAAACAGAGCAGTATGCCAGCTACTAGGAAGAAAATTAACTCTATCCCAGCCAAAACCAGGACAGATGTTCCTGGACAAGCAGGAATAATGGCTGCTTTTCAGCATTTTGTACACTTGAATGGGAACATGTTATTTCTTTTCAAACTTTCTGCTATTTAAGCCCTTGCACAGCCTAGCCTGGAAACACCGGACATGTTCCCTTAAGTGCAGCCTGCAGATACCCAACGCTCCCCTTACAACACATCTCAGACTCTTCCCCGAGGAACCACAGAAAAGGTGTATACAAGCACTCAGCCATTTGCCGCTCCATGTTGTGGCAATACCAGTCCTATCCCTGGACCCAAACCAGAGAGGCCCCAAAGCCTTCACAGGCCTGCCAGAGAAGCGGGTTATCACAGAAGGGAAACGCTTCCAGCCCAAGAGCAGAGTGGACAGCCCCATGCCAGAGGGCTGAAGCAGTCCTCCTGACAGAGGGTAAGCCAGAGAGGCAACGCCATTTCATTCCTGTGATTGTCCCAGCTCACATCTCTCACAGCGGCCTAAAGGTGGGAGAGTCTCTGTCTCTCTTGGAGAAGCTGGACAACAGCAGCAAGGCTTGGCCAGGCCTCAGAGGTCACACACGAAGTGCATAGCACCGATTCCTGACTCACTACCCAGTGCTCGTACTAAGCAGCTTGACAGTGGCTCTTTGAAACAATTCTTCAAGCTGGCCCCAGCCCAGATTCAGGCTCCAGGAGCAGGAGGCCGGGCTGGGGAGCCCAGTGCATGTATTCCCTGGACTAGCAATGCCAGAGCGCCAAGAAGCAAAGATAAGCCTGGCACTGTGCATCCTCAATTTATTCGACAGGGACACCTTTTCCCAAACCTTCACAAATCCCCTATTTTTTCTGGTACGGGCGGCGGGGTGGAAGGAATTCTCTTCAGTTCCCTGAAGAAAGGTAAAACCAGGAAAATGTGTCACCGCAATCTGAACCCATCCTGCCTTGCAAACCTTTCAGGACACACCCAGCATCCCAGCACAGACACACATTCTTTAATTTACTTTTAAATCAGTGCAAATCACAAAAGCAATCTATGAAGCCTGAGTCCAGAACCTCTGATGGCTTCCAGCTCCCTTCCAGAATCTGATGCTCCCATGAAGGAAAAAGCATGGAGGGACTCGCATCCATGCTGAGCACATGTGTCCGCAGCCCTCTCAGAGCTTCAAACCCAGCAAGCTGACTGCAGCCAATTCCGTTACTGGTACTGGGGGACGTAACACAACCAAGTGTCATGTTCTCCGTACCCCAAGGGGAGAATTAATTTGTGTGTGAGTGACTGGAGCAAGCCCTGGGGAAAGCAATCAGGAAATCTGGTCCCATTCTGCATAGTTAAAACACCTAACTTCAGGCCTGGGGTTATGTTCTTATTTTGATCCGATGGAAAATTCCCATCTTGTCAGATTAAGGTGTGAGCATCAAGGGCAGGAAGCTGAGGACATTGCTGGTGAGCGGACTACAAAGCACAGCTTGGTTTTACTGCTGCCTTCTGCACAACAATGCTCTAACTCACGCCACTGCAGTATCAGCTATGCAGCTGCATTCGCTGCCTTCGGTAGCTATTATAAAAGATGAGCAAGGATTAATTAGGAGAGCTAAACAGCTTCCCGCTTGCCCACAGAACCCTAAGCACAAATCAATTCGAGGATCAATGCCACCATTTCCTCTTTCTTGGCCAACATCATTACCTGGAACACCAGGTTCGGGTGTGCACTGCCCCTGCAGACCACGAGTCGCGCAGAGAGAGCAATCTGCAGGGTGGTAGCCTCTAACACGGGCTGCTAATGCTCGTGAGGGCCGGGGCAGCACCGTTAGTGCTTTTACTGTCAAAGCTGGGCAAGGAAAAGGACATTTGTCCACAGCTTCGGGGACTCAAGAGTGTTTCACTCACAAATCTTGGTGCTGCAGAAAAAAGCAAAATGTTTAAAAACCAGACTAAAACATGGTATAACCTAAGAGTCAGTGCCTCCACTCACACCAGTTTTGGGGGCTGGTTAACAATCAGCCAACATATACACTTAGGTCCCTTTGCACTAGTAGTAAACTAGACCTGCAAACTGCCGGTGTGTTACTAACCCACCCAAAGTAAAGCAATTTATGACTATGTAGCAAGCTTCAATTATAACACCAAGCTAAACTGTCACTGCATCACCTACCCTGTATGCTTCATTCGCAAAGAATATATGAGCACAGGGACATCCCCAACTCTGCTTTTCAGACAGAAGCATTCGGACAAAAACTACTTGTAAATATCAGCATAGAAACTATATTCGTACCCATCTAATCAATAAATCAAACCAAATACCACAAGAGATCATGAGACTGAGTATAAATAAGCAAAAAAGACTGACTTGTGATAAATCCATAGGATAGAAAAAATGAGGAAACATAGCTGTGGGACCCGAGTAAGGGATTGGAGTAAAGTTCCTCCCTCTTTGCTGAAATTCGTCAGATGGATTAATTCACTGTAAATTATTTACTCAGCTATAGCCACAAGGGAACGTATTTGGAGGGGGGGTAGAATTCTTGTGGCATTTGCAGTTTTTCGTAAGTAAATCTTTGAAAGGGAATTAATTACACTGGAAACTGTAAGTAGGATGGAATCTGCCCATATACAGTCTGACACGGCATCCGCCTCCTCATCCAATCTACAGATTCATTACCCAGCCTATGGGTTCAAACCTTATTTGCATGTGCATATAGAGTTACTTGGCAGAGAAACAGCCATGAATACAAAAATAAAGCAATTTTCTTGTTGCTGCAATGAGAATTTGCCCCTACTCTGACTCTCAGTTCTCAGACCTCTCGGCCAATTAGCTCATCCATGACTTATAAATTGCTTTCCGTTGGGAAAGCGGGAACCAGGATGTCAGGACCCCCCCCTCCCCAGCTTACCGGGTATAGTAGGAATCCACACCCAGAGCCTCCCGCACACTTGAGATGTACTGTTCCAGCACGGAGTTCGTCATCGTTTGCAGGGTCACACTGTTGGCTTCATGGAATTCCCCAGCATTTTCTGTCAGGCTGTCACCCAGATAATACTCATGAAATTTCAGAATTCCTGCAAGGCACCAGAATCACGAGGTTATTTCTGCAGGGCAGGAAGAGTGCTGCCAGCAACAGTCTAGGAAGGTGGCACAGCCCCTAGCATTTGGCATTTCCAGTACCACTGGGGCAAAGCATTCCATGCCACGTCTCTACAGGGCTTTTCCAGCATTCTGTATTACAGCCTTGCTTTTAGAATCTGGTTTTGTACTTTGCAGATGATGGCTCAAAGGTACGAAAGCAGAGCAGTGCTTTTATGAGATGCCCAGAATGCATTTGCTATTGCAGCAGTCTCATCTAAAATATAAAACAGATCTTTCATACAAGCACCTACCAGAGTAATTCGCATTTCAATAGATGCACATGAAAAATACCTATTAATAGCCTCTGATCACATAAATTGAACACACAAGGCTCAAATGCTGAACAAAAGTGTTATTACTACAGCAGAACCTCCTCGCATCACACAAAGATTTTTCATTTCACTCATATGCATGAAAATACATTATATACAAAGAAAGAAAAAGATAGATTAATGCATAGTAAAATATTAAGACAGCGTTTCACAATGGGTAAAACAGATAAAGGACACTCACTGTTTTGTTAAGAATTCTACTATTACTGCAGATAAAAGCTTCCTCCACTCACAGTGGCATATCCTTCCTGATATAATTAATTCTACAGCCTGCGATCAAAGGCTGCTCCGGATGCCCTGTTTGCCTTGACAGCATAAATTATTAAACCAGTTAAGAGTGGAGTAATAAAGAATACAGCAACTCCTTCTGCAGCAACAGCAGCAAAAAGAGAATCAGCGAAGAGGCTAACGGTACCATCTCAGTGGAATAATGAGGATCCTGGGCTGCCACTGAAGCTACTCTCCCTGCTAGCACTAACGAAACAAGAAGAGGTCACTGTGGCTGGGTTGGAGTCACTCCTATAGAGCTTCCCAGCAAAGCTGCTCAAGTGGAAGCACCACAGTCCCTCTCCTTCCCAACACCTGACAGTGCCTTCAAGTACAAACCCATGTACTGGAAGGGTGCACCTGCTTTTCTATAAGACCCAGTTTGGGCAAGGAGGAGACTGGTCATGAAGCCTAGTGGCAAACCCTACACTTCTGGTCCATGTAATTTTAGTAAGCTCATCTTGGTATTAATACTATAGAATTACTGGCATTTTACTGTGCAAACTACAGGCCTGAAGAGTGAATTAGTGACTGGATGCATAGCAGGACACCACCATCTTACACTTATACATGCAACATTGCAAAACGCCCCCAAAAAGCATATCTTCCAATCACTGTCATCCCATCTGAAGTCAGGCATGTGTGAATGTTTGCTTCCCTTCCCAGAGCATTTCTGCTGCAATCTGAATAGTGCTTTTTATCTCTTTAGCTTTGTCATGGTGAAGGGCTGCAATTATTAAATTATATCCAGAAAGAACTCATGAAAATTTACAGTCATCACTTTATTAGATAATGAACAACAGCTGTCTGCAAAAAGCAATCCTCTTCAAATTAATCCTCCTTGCTCCTCTGTGATAAGTGTTTCCACATTCATATGAAGAGAATTCAGAGGATCAGGCAGCTCAATGGCATATCAGGAAGTGGGGACGCCCTTCTGTTTTCTGCAATCCACTTCAGTGGATAAATGTCAAAAGCTTTTGGAAGGATAAAGCACAGAAATATAATTAAAGTAGGGATTCTTATGCATAGAAGATTCTCACAGAGCCAACATACTTGGAATCTCATTACTGCTCTGCCCTGTGGGAAATAGATACAGATTGGAGGTTGAAAAATGGAAATATTAAACATGTGAAACATTACCATCTCCAGGTGAACATCAAAGTCCCGAATAAGCACTTCTACATCATTATTGCTGTGGCTATGCCACAGTTTTCAGCCTATTCAGCTCTAAGGTACTAGATGGAAAGGATCCCCTCATACGTTCACTCTGGTCCCAGATTCATTCCTAGCTGCAAATGGCCCAATTCTCCCTTTGTAAGGCTTGTTGACAGGCTCTCATCTCCAAAAACAACCTCACCTGCCCCAGGAGCCAGCAGCCAGCTGTACAGATAACCTGCAGCCAGTGAGTAGTAGAGAACAAGTCCCCTCTGGCCATTCACTGTCTCCAGGACCTGGTCAATGGTCACTGGAGAATAGGGATCAGAGTCCTGCTGCCCAGTCTGGCGTTCCACGAGCAGGTCAGCAAATGCTCTCGTTCGTCCTCTCTCTGCTACTGCCAAAGCTTCATCGTGGTGACCTGAAAAGACAAAGCCATCTCTCAGACCTGACACCAATGTGGTCTGTAGCGCAATGTGCAGGAACAGAGACAGCTGCTATCCCAACCCGAACTAAAACCTGGGGAAGCAGAGTCACAGCACTCATTTCTGGAAAGAGTAGTCTGCGCTGGAATACAGTCCACAGATTATCTTGGCTGCGGGCAATAACATGACGTATGGGAAAATGAGCCACAGAAAGGCAAATGAATGGAGGAAGCAAGAAAGAAGATCCAAAGGTGCCTGAAAACCAAGGCAGGAGGCCCTTATTTCTGTCCTGGCAAAGAAACGCTGTGTTGCATCGGACTGATGAGTGAAAGATGTATCATGAACTGCCTCCCCGCAACTTCAGCTGAACTCTGGGCATGAGCTTGGAGTTCAGACTCAGCATAAGATGGCATCTCTTACCAAGACTGACAAGTACTCGCTGCAGGGCCTGATAGGAGGATGTCTGCAGGTCGAACAGTGACAGCTTGTAATCTGTGCTCAGCTGCACTTCATGTCGGATGGTTTCAAACAGTGCCGAGGCCCGGTACAGCTGGGGGGGAAAATAGCCATGGTGACTTCCTTACAGACGCAGGACAAAGCACTGGCTGGGAGAGCAGGAGGACCCAGGGCCAACATACCCTCAGGCAGGGGAGGTCTGCCTCAGACAGCCCCTCAGGATGGCAGCATCCCTGGCAGAGGGGAGGTGACTTAGGATGGAGCAGGAAGGCACAGGGGCCGAGTCGGCTCAGTGCATTACACACCCTCCCCAGGATGCACCAGACGCTTCCTCCCCCGAGGACAGGAATGACCCAAAGGGCTCAGAGGACACAAGCCCACCAGCACAGGGCAGCCCACGGTATACCTGGTGCTGAGACTCTTCCAGGTTCCCACTCGCCCAGAGGGAGAGGCCGAGGCCGTGGCGGATTTTGGCTTCATCTTCTCTGCGTCCCAGCTGCTCTGCCAGCCTCAGTCCTGAAAAGCAGTCAGAGTGAGAGAGGGCCAAAGGGGAGAAGGGGCTTCGGCAGCCGGGTTGAGCACTTCTGCCTCAGCAGCCCGGGGCTGTCACCTCGGGGGGCCCGGGGCCTC